GATTTAAAAATTGTCAAAGTTGAAATTTATAATAAAAACATAGTAAGTGGATTCAAACTTTTGGAAGCAACTGTATATTAATTTGTAAAATTTGTGTATAGTATAAAATTTTTTAGTTAAAATAAAAATATAAAATAAAAATAATAATAAAAGTTATAAAATAATCTTAAGTAAAATTAATTTTTAGGTATTTAAATATTTATATTTTAAGTTTGATTTAATTTAGATTATTCTTTATTAAGGTAAATATATTTGAAGAAAAGGCAATTTTTTTTGTCCCCTACTGTATAATAAATACTGTGTAAAAGAAATGCATCACAAATCAGGTGAACTACGAATAAAATTTTATTGGTCTATTGTGTTTAAGATACGTGGGCACTAACGCAATTAATAAATCCTTAAGATAACTAATTATAATATCAATAATGATCATGTTTTACTTGTTCTTAAAGCAGAAATTGTTCGTACTCTTTTACGAATAAAGTTTTTCTTGCAACTTTGAATCATTAGGTAGTTACTGCAAATATACTTCGTCGCTGCATCACTCAAGAACAAGCCACCGATTCAAATTTTTTTTGCGCAAAAAAAAAAGGAATTAATAATAAAATATAATAAATATGATGGTGGTAATATATGGGATTCACCATACACTACACAGAGGTCGTTTTATCCTGCCATTATGCTGAGTTTCTCCGCGACGACACGTGGGGTAATTTCCTCCTCTCCAAATGCATGAACCTTCATGTTTGTTTTTGTAATAGCACTGATATCAGGTTTCAAGTTTTCCAATTCTTTCAGAAGTTGCTTTTCATAGGTTATCTGTTTTTTGACGTATTCTTTGATCGCCACAAGAAAATCTTGGTTACGGTTTTCTTCGTAAACTTTTAACTCTAAATGAAGATTGTTTGTTACGCGTTTGGCGCGTGCATCAAGCGTTTGCTCGTAATTTTTTGCCTTGAGATTTTTAGAATGTGCAGGTTACAAATCTAATGTGTTTGAATATGTAAACGATAAGAAAAAACTTCCAATAACCATACTTCATCCAGATCTTCTAATGCTTCATCTACTCTAACAGATTTGATGGACGTGGAAGACTTTAATCGTTCAATATGGCGTCGCTTACTTATGGTGGACTTCACCGCATTATCATGTTCGGAAATTATTCTGAGGCGGTTTGTTAGAGTTTCCTATTAAATATATATAAATATACTTCGTAAAATATACTGAAAAGTTTATGCGCACACAATACCTTAACTACGTGAGCGTTTGCAGCGTAATAACTAAAGAAATCTCCCACTGTCGCAGCTTCGCTCACGGCTTGCGATTGCTGCAATTCACCAATGGCCTGAAATGACTTTCCAAGCTTGCGTAGTCCACTGAAATATAACATCAATTAATTGATTGGTTGACTGATTACAAAAAAATCAGGATCAAATACTAGCAATATGTTAAAATACATTGATAGCGATGGATGAATTTCAATTGTGCCCAAGGCAAGAGATTTGACGCCAAATTCGTTATTATATACAGATAATCCTGAATTATTAACAAAAAGTCATGAGTCTTGAAGCCCATTAAGAATTCAGGCTGGAAAACGCAACTCCACAATGCCATGCATGTACATATAAAGTTATATACCTTTCCGAGACCTCGCCATTTTCTGAGCTGCTTTGGCCGTTTCTAGAAAATGACCCTCAAGTTTATGCACAATAGACTTGGCTTGGACCAATTTTAAATCGTTATCCTTTATATCAGATGAAAACTTAAATCTGAAACTGCCGCTTTGCTTTCGTGGTTTAGTGGCGGGAACAAACTATTGTCCATTCGAACTCTTAAGGATTAGTATGATTCTTGAAGGAATCATGTCTTTAAATTTTGGCGTTGACTATGAATACTCACAGCAAAATCAGTTTCTATAAACGACCTCAGCTCCTCGTCATGACACAATACAGGGCTCTTTGACACACGATTCATCCATAATTGCATTGCGTGCTTAACTCTACGTTCATCTTCCTCACTTGATTGATAACTGGTCATCAAGAAGGGTAGTGCGGGAACTATACATTCTGGATTAGAATAAGCCATGGTATTGTATAACCTTTCGAGTTCAGAATATGTGCGTTCTACTTGAGGATATGTGTTATGCCTGAATCTAGGCAAGTTTGTCTTGAATAGATATACAAAACTTTATTTTTTAGTGAAGGTTTTGAAGCGAAAGTTATAGATATTTTCTCTGAATAAATTCATACATTGACTTTAAACCTGAAAACCGGATCGCGACGGCTTTTATCTAAAGTCAGAATCGACATTTTAAGATAATAGCCTTCTTCTTGAGTAGATTGCGTAAGGGTACCATTTCTCTGTTTTGTACGAGTATTAGCTTTACTAGACATAATCTGGGTTGAAGTTTCGTTGCCATTAACCAAGGGTTCTTGTAGTACCGCCATGAACAAAAGTAAAATAATGTTAAAAAACCCGTAATCCTATATTCAAGTGTAGATATAAGAAAAATTAAAGATTATTATGTGGCTTTTTTAAAAGTGGTTTTATAGGTTTTTTGGCCTGTGAATTTGTGAATCTGTGATCAAAGTCTCGTGCAAAAAGGCGTACAGAAATATTTCTAGTGTTTATATTTTATTACAGTACCCAAATAGATATCCGTTTTAAGTAATTAAATGTCTTAGCTATTATCGACGATTTACGTATTAATTTTGAAATGGGACTGTGTTACTTATTTTAATCGTAATATGGGTTTGCTTAAGCGAGAATCCAAATTTTCAGTTAAAGAGACGATGAAATATAAACTGCATTAATTACAGCATTTAGTCATCATCAATTTATTAGATTTGTCATCGTAGTACGTAATAGAAGGCTAATTTTAATTGCGTTACGGAATATTTGCACGGTTATTCTGTTATCACGTGATAAAAGATATTCTTGTGATTCTTAATAAAAATAGTTCAAATAATCAGATCATCTTTATTGAAAAGAAAAAAATAATTTGTAAGATATCATAACTTTTTTTTTTTATAATGCTAGCTCATCCTTGCACCAGGGTGAACATATTTTATTAAAGCAAGAAAATACTGTTTAAGGATTTACAGATTAACAAATACAGTAGTACAAAGAGAAAACTATTTATATTCCACCCAACCAGAATAAGATAATTACATGACTGTCTAGTGTAGGCATTCTACTTACTAAAACAAAACAAGGAATAACATTGAATAAAAAGAATTTTTCACTATATTATATATATAACCATATCTGGTATTTTTTAAAGATATGATAAACATGATCCACTGATTGACTTATTATTATTCCAGATTCTATAAGAAGGGAAGGTTAATGTGTTAAAGATTCACCTGTGGTATCCATCATCTCTAATATTAGGAATCTCTTATGTGAAACCTTAACTTTACTAGTGTTAACCAAAAATTTTTTTATATTATGATGTTGTTAAAAGAGTATTTTAGAGAGATCAGATAATTACTTAATGAATTGAGAAATTGTTTTTCTAATATATTAATACCAGATAACCAAAAACTCTTCTAAAGGACCCTGCACCTTATAGTCTTTTTTCTTTAGTTGTGTGTATTAGAAAAGGGAAGTAAAAGTAGAGAAGAATTATTATTTATTATTCAATGAGACCTAATTCAGATTTCTTTATTCTTTTTATATAATCAATGATATCATAGATTTTATATTCTGTATTTACTTATACAATTGGCTTGTAACTTATGATGGATCCTAGGTTCTTACAGATATTAAGGAAATGCATTCAAACATGTAAGATAGTCAATAAAGGCTTGTTTATATCTTAGATTGCTATTATGTTTCTATTATTCAATCACTGCATCAGAAACTTTGTGCTACTCAAAATTTAGAATCAAATTGAAATAGCCAAAATCTCTTAGAAAAAATTGTAAAAGAGTACTCTTAGAACCTTTACCATAATAAAAAAGTAGTGATGTTATCTTCTAAAGAGTCTTTTATCACAAATTAAGCTTTATAGTGTTTCTATAGCAAGTGAAAAGAAGATAGATAAATTAAATCTATTTTTCTTTAGAACTTTTTTACTGTTGATAAAAAGAGTAAAATTGTCTTTTTGGTTACTAAAAGACAAGTTTTTTGTAGCAAGATATAAAAAGAGATAATGAGGATTGTAAAATAACTCTTAAGAATCTTATTCTCAAGTTGGTTTAAAGAAAGTGATATAACTTTATTAGTCTTTAAATATAAAACTTCTTATAAATATCTTTTTTATATATAGTCAAAAGATCAATAGAAAGAGTTTTTGTATAAAATATTATAATAAAGTATATTAATAGTATAAAAAATAAGAAACTTGATTTTTTTTTTTTAATTACAATTATATAATAATGGCTTGTTTTTATTGAGAAATTAAAATAAAATCTATAATAGTTTATAGTTTTTTATAACATAATTATTATAACTTGTCTTATGACCTGTGGGTCGATAGTGCAGTGAGTGCACTCCCAGGTCGCTAATCACAATATCCTGGTTCAATCCCGTCGATCTGCAGTAGGAATGCATTTTCTAAGCTCCATAAGAACCTCAGGTCCATCATAAGTCATATATCTGAGGTGCAGGTGGATAATCTCTACAGATCTAGAACAAAATCTAACCAAAAAAAAAAAACAAGACAAGAGATGCATCCGATCAGCAACAAGAAGATCCTGTGGACCAATAAGCACAATGGTAGTACTTACAGGTCATGTACTACAAGGGTTGAGGGTCCATGTGACATTCCCTTGGTGATACTGGTATCGATTACCATGCTCCATCAGTACCGCCCCATTATTTCCAAATAGAACTTAAGGGACAGGAAAGTTCTTCTGATTGGTTCTTCAACCTGATCCAGTTCCAGTTAGGACAAAGTGAATAGGAAAAAGATCTACATCAAGATGACCGACTCGACCCCCCTTACGACCGTCAACAAGACTGCTGAGGAAATCCATTATTCTCACCTATGGTGAGGGTTCTCAAGTAGAAATGTCTGCCAAGAATGGAAGATCCCCAGATAACTTAGCTCACCTTTGGAAGAGTTGCGCCTTCTTAAATAAGCAGCACAGGCTTGAAGACTACATATCATCTGATAAAGACCATTGTAAGATTTCTAATAGCCACAGGTTCTATCGGATTACTTGAATGAGTAATACCTTGGGTGGTTCCCCAGTTGAAATAGGACATGGCAGCCGACCACTTCCCCCTTCCCCCCATTCTTTTCCCGTTCAAGAAATATAGAGACATAGACTTCCGGTAGGTAATCTACTGACAGCCAACAATCGAGATGAAGATCTTATCTGTTCACAGGACGTCATACGTAGATAGAGGTGTACGGTGTGCAATTAAAATTTAGTAGTATTAGTTCTCAATAAAATAGTGCCCCAGTGGATCTTCGGAACACTGGTACCTGGCTCTTCGACAGGTGATTTGTGACAAGTGGTTCTTAGGATAGCATTAGTTAAGTTTGAAAAATTGTAATCTGATGTAAAAATCTGTACATTCAAATTAAAAACTAAAGTCACAATAAAATCGACATTAAGAAAAAAAAAAAATTATAACTTGTCTTTATATATAAGTACTTTTTTTTTTTTTTTATAACCCATAATTATACCCAATGGCATGTCTTTATTGAGATATTGAAAAATATCACAAAGTTTATAGATTTTCATAAAATGACTAACTTGTCATTATATATTATTAGTTAAAAGACTACACTACTTAAAAAATATGAGAAGTTCACTAAACTAGTTTGGACTAAACAAAACTAAGCCTAAATTAGATACTCTAAGTCAGATTTGAGGGACAATATCTCAATCTCTTAGTAACTTGGTATTAGTCTCTAAGTCAACTAGGATTATTGTCAACAGTTTGTTACTATTGATTATCCCAAAAAATGATGAATTATTGAAGTTGGCACTGAGAAAAAAAGGAAAAAAGGAAAAAAACAATTTAAAGCTCTTCAAAAGATTCTTGTTCTATTTCACAGTTTCCTTTCAAAAAGGGTTTCTGTGATTTTTATTTACTATGAAATAATGTTATATATATAATGATTTATATATAGTAAATATATTACATACTATATATACTAACTAGCCCTATTAAGATAATAACTCTTTCCGCTGATCCTCCTTTTTCCTAAAAATTTTCTTTTTTGGCAATTTTTTTTTGAAAAAGCAAACCTGGTCAAACACACAAGGAAAAACAACATATCTTTCAAACCAAGCTATCAAGCTT